TTGGAGAACAACAGCCGAAGAAGAATAAAGCCGACCCTACAATCTTATATAGATGTTTACAAAGTAATGTTACAAGAATGGACTAGAATGCCCCTAATTAGTGATGGGACACCTAGACATAAAAAAAGAATAAAACAAGTTTAGGCCCAATAACTAACAACTTAAGACATAAATAAGACTAACATAAACACTAAACCAACCGAACCAACAAAGACAAAGGAGGGCATGACACTACTACGCCTGATGAAGCAGATGATTAAAGTCAAGGAGATGGAGTAATTCTTTTAATTTTATTTAAATTATTTGTTATTTTTCAACAATGTAATTTTTTTTATTTTCAATTTGTAATTTTTTAAAATTTTAAATGAAATAAAATTCCAATTTGTTGTCCATTTTGTATTTTGGTAAGTATTTTTTCATGTCTTTGTTAGATTTTTTATTTTTCAATTTGTTCCCAAAGGAAAGTTAAGTATTTTAGTTTTACTTAGCAAAAAAAGTTAAAAAAAATCAAAATGTCAAAAAACCAACAAAAAAAAAACAGTTTAGGTCTTTTTGGCTCGATTCGGCCTAGGCCCAAGGCCCGACCCATAGCCCTGCCCGGCACGGCCCAAGCCCACAACACAGCCTGCAGCCCCACTGGCCCAAACCCATGGCACGGCACGGGCCCATGCAGGCTTGGGTCATGGGCTGTGCCGGGTCCCCCCCCCCCCAAATTATCCCAAGGGAGGAAAGCACGGCCCGATTTACACCTCTACTTGATGTGCATATCATATGCCTAGATTAATAAATAAGGAGTTTGTGACCATTAATCATGACATTCCTTTGAATTTCTAGAGAAGTATGACAAACAACCTAGAGAAAAGCCTACTGATTGCACAATATGCTTATGCAATTCTGACAAGTTTTGATACAAGATTTGGGTGGTACCTATAAAATTGCAGAATCAACACCTTACATGAAGCTACATACTTTAAAGACGGACATTGTTACCCTAGAATGTAAATGTTTTGAGTTGCAATGTAAGAGAAAGTTCGAAGTTATATTAAACACCAGCTTTAGAAACAAAAGAGGTTGATGAATGATGGGTGGTAAAGACCAAAGAGAAAACACCAAGAGTGGAACCCAAGAAACATTACTGTACCTGGCCAATCAAGTGGGTTGTTAAAAAACCACCATGAGAACCTCCAAGCACAGCTATTTTAGATGGGTCAACAAGTCCCATTTCAATAGCATGATCTATAGCTGTGAGCACATCACTGACATCCTACCAATTTTAAACAATAAGGGTTAGAAAAAAGTTTCATGAGAATATGAAAACATAAACAGATAAATAGTTTAAAAAACCAAACACAAATAAACAATATAGAGGATGAGAATAGGCACCTGGGAGCCAACCTTCCCAGGAAGAGACTGCAATGCCTCCTCCCCAAATCCCAATGAACCTCTGAAAAAACATGTGTTAGAATAAAATAACAATAACAAATTCATCATTTTAGTAAATTCTGATCGCTTTTAGTTTGTTTTATTAATGGTATGTAATATCCGAATCTAGTCCTAGCTCCATCTGGATTCAATGGGTAAATCGATTTGAATCCAAGTACTAATGGATCAAATTTTGATCTAGGTAATATCTGATTAAATGCGATCACTTTGCACTTTTGCAGCCCTAACTTAATTAGTGAAAGAAAGGAAAAGGAAAAAGGAAAATCTTACCTATAATTTACGATCAGCAAGTTGTAGCCGATTGATGAGAGAAATGCCAGGGGCTTTGAAAAGCTTGTCACTGAGACAGAATGAGGTCCACCATGAAGGATTACAATTACTGGATTACATGAACCATGCTCCTGAGAGTTGGAAGATACATATATAGCTTCAAAAGGATTTTTGGCACCTGAAGTTCAAAAGTTCAGCATTCAGGGTACTATATACAGCATTGGGGGAGTTAAGAGAGTTTATATCCCCTGCCTTGCACCTATCCTTTTCTCATTAATGAATTAATTCTGTTACTGATCAAAAAAAAAATATTTTGTTTTTTGATAGGTAATAACTTTTATTAATAGCACTTGCCAACAAAGGAATTTTCAGGTTGGTACTACACTTGCCCCATAAACTGATATTACATTTCTTTAACCAATCACATGTTAGACAGTTGTATGCCCTTAGCTCCAATCAGAATGATGTACATTATGAATTTATTGTAAATGAATAAAGTACATRYTTGATTMATGTTYYTGTGGTGTGTTTYTRYRTAATACCCTTAAATTGGACACTTATGAGACTCGTGTTAGTTTAGAACGTTCACAGCCAATGGGTCGGTCTGAGGAGACCTATCCTGATAAGGCTGGAACTGATGTGCCGGCAAGTCGGTTGGAGTGGCCTGTCTCTGCCACCAGGGTGAGACCCGAGGTACATGTAGTGTAGGATTAATTAAATCTTTGAATCGGACCAAATTTCCAGTATTGCCCTGGACCTTGGAGATTGATGGGCAAAACTGGAAAGTTACACTTGACCCCTATACTCGATTATGATACTACACTAGGTGTCGGATTGGGCTATCTTTGATATGCCAATTAGTGAGATCCTTAGCGGGGGTCAAAACCTGAGTATGTTGGGACAGTCTGAGAATTCATCTGAGTGGGTGATCATAGTGACAGGATCAGC